TCAAATATTTTAATGGTTTTTGCTCATATTACATATATTTGGTGAAATTTGATATTTTTTTCCAAAAACAGAGGGTCTGAGGAGGTCGGCCCGGCGTCTAAGACTAGGTTTCAGACTCTAAGATTCTACCCGGGAATCGTAAACATTTTTCGAATTGTGCAGTTGTCATGATCTAAAAATTAGACAAAAATTCTGGATTTTGAATAAATTTCAATACGAGCAAATTAAACTTGTTGTATGTACAGGGTGTCCCAAGAAACATGGGAAATGAGTGACGATTTTTACATCGTCTTTGTAAGAGAGATTTTGATTTAGTATAGTGATACCTTTTATGAATGCTTGACAGAAAGATGAAATTATTTATGAAAAAATACATGATAGACAAGATTAAATTCTCCGAAATAATTAGTGTTTAGAACGTCGTCGTCGTCGTCGATGTTTTCTTGGCGTAGGGGTCTCCGCTGAAATAATAGATTTAAAGAAGTTTTTTTGGTTTTCTGTCGTATAAACAGGAATTAAGTCTTTGCCACAAACTTTGATTTATAGTCCCTATATTTTTGCAACCCAATGCCGTATACATTACATAAATATTTCAAACTGTGAATTCTTATCAATTTAATAATTAAGGTTGCTAAGACTAAAAGAAATAGGTATCAGAAACTTTAAGTTTGCAACAAAGACTCAATTTCATGAAAGGTGAAATGCACTGAAATGTCAAACAGGTATCAATGTTTAAAACATTACCTTGAATTCCGTTTTGAAAAAGGCGATATCAAGTTTTACTTTTTTTAATCTAAACTTTGAAAAATATGCCTTTGATCCTATTTCAATAGAAATTACGAAGATATTGTAAATTTAGCGATTAAATTACATTTTTAGTAATTTTTTGTTTCGTTTCGCTCTTAACCTAAAAGGTTGATAAATGGCTAATGTTAAAATCAGAATACTCAGGGCTACCTAAACAGGATGAGACTATAAAGACGACTTGAAACTATGATTTAAAGACGATTCTAAAAGTAAGTATTTTGCCTTAAATAAATAATTTAATGACTTAATCAATGATTCAATGATGGGCAAAGAAAGAAACAAGTTTACGATTGTAGGGAATCATGAATGTAAGGAATAAATAGACCGTATAAAATACGTACAGTCGTCTGTGAAGTCTAATTCCTTGAAAGTAATCCTGTATTGAAGATCCAAGGATTTTAAACTAAAATTTTTTTTTTTTAATTTAACAAACGGTGTAAAAGTTCATTTTATTTCTATAATTTGTTTAAGATCCAGATATCCGCAAATATTAAATTACAAAAAGCAATTTGAATTCTAACCGTAGATATTTGTATTGAAGGTTGTAGAACTGATCTCATCTATCTCTGTGATATCGTATCCAGTGGATGCTCCATGTACTACTGGAGTAGACGGGATGAGGTTCAGGACTGGAACTACTCCAGGTCGGAGTAAAGTGTCATCCGTCCTCGTATCACTATCAGTTGAACTCTAAACACAAGCTCAGCTAGAACCTTTAAATTTACGGGAAAACATCCCAATCTCTCTTTGCAGGGAGATTTACTGATTTATCATTGGTCAAAACCTGGCATCTACAGATTTCAACAGGAGAAAGGTTGCCAATTCGTTATGAATGAATTTTAATTATTCAGTTCATTTAAAAATTCCAAGGTCCTAAGATATTGTTGTTCGCCGGATATCTTTTAAGACAATTAGATATTCTGTTCTTTTTTTCTAAAATCTGAAGAAATCAATTGATAATTGAAGATCAACACAAATACGAAAATAATTAGGGAAATATAATAAAGATAATAATTTCAAAAATTTACTAATAAAATATTATTTTTATTAATATGATACCAGGCCTAGCAAGTTTTTATAGTTTGTTAAATTAACTATTCATGAGAACAATAAAATCAGGTTTTCCTTGTCGATAAATAAAATTTATTTTTCAGGAGAAATAAATGACTTAAAGACATTTTTTGAAAATACAGTGTTACCCAAGAAGGATGAGATTGTAAAGACGACCTAAAACTTAAAAAATATGACGATTTGAACATTGATTTTTTTGGTTTCTATATTCAATTGAGTATTATATAGTTTACTAAATGATTAAATAACAAAATCAGATTACAAGGAACCCTGAATGCAAGAAAACGGACTGAACAAAGTCCGTACAATCGTCTCTGAAGTCTCATCCTTTGTATGTAACCCTCTATCTAAACACTTATAATGATAAAAAATATTCATTAAAAATAATATTTAATAAACGCATGTTTCTTGTCAGAATAAAGCAATAAAACTTGTGAGGTTTAAATAGTGTTCAGATATTTTGGAATATTTAAAATGTGTACTTTGTGACCCATAAAACCATGGAAAAAGAAGTTTATGATTTTAATTAGTCCAACCATAGATTAATTAAATATAACAGATAGAACACTAGATGTCGTCTTTTAAAGATTAAAGGGGTTTTCGTTCACAATTACCCTGAGACAGGGCCCAAAAAGTTACGGGCATCTTTTAATTCAACACTGCCTGCGCAGAACCCCTTTGGGCTTCTGCCTCAGGGTAATTGAGAACGAAAAAACCTTAAATCTTGAAAAGACGAAATCTTGTGTTCTATCCGTTATTGTTAATTAATCTATGATTCCAAAGAACATGAAACATGGCAATTCCTCACTGTACACATACACAGACCTATTTCACTTATACGTTGATAAGTTGATAAGTTGGTAAAACTATTTACTTTACAGTAACAGTAAAAAAATGATTTTGTTTTTAATGTCATCTTTCTTTTCCATTTTATTATGGGTTCCACAGTATCAGAACAAAAATGTTAAAATAGCATAGTGGTCGGCAGTCATTACAATGAAGACAACTTTTCTATTTCAGATTTGATTTCTAACAAGCTTTTTAAAATTAAAAGTTTACAAGAAAATAAAGAGAGACTGTTAATTGAAATTGTTGTTTCCATCTTGTGTATCCACATGCTGTTTTAAGGTTTGGTAAAAATTAACATTTAAATAGAAAGTTGTATTCATTGTATTGATATTTATGACGACAAATGTACATTTTTTCTGTATATTGTAACTCTTTATAATGTGTATTTGCCTGAAAACTAGCACTTTTCCTAAACACAGCCGCTGCTCTAGCCACCGGTAGAGCTTCAGCTAGAGTATTCAGATCTGTGAGTTCACGGAGACCCTGAGAAGATGGTAGGACGGGTTCATCTTCTACTCCTACTCCAACCTGCTCACGGTCTATCTTACTCACAAGCTTCAGGTTCCGTCTAGGTTAGAGATAAGATTATGTACTTTTCTTTGATTTTGGAAAATTATAACTGAGGTTGAAATTAAAGAAGTTGAGCTGCGCGGCTTAAATTTAAGCCGCGGCTCAAATATGGTTGGTTCCACTTAAAATTGTGTTGAATTTTTCAAGATTTATAGATGATAACAGATTTGATAAAACCCATTCTTAAAGCTAAAAGTCATTAAGGAATGTATTATTTGCCTCCAAGCAAATTCAATCAAATATTATTTACATGAAGATTTGATTATTATTGACAATATAAATTTCATAAAGTATCTCCTAAGCTTTTTTAATCTCTCTATCTTTGAAATCTAATGGTTTAAACCTTTGATATTTCAAATTTACATTTTTTATCTAACAGAAATCAGAATACATAGTTTGAAATATCTAAAGTCAACGACATTGGGTGACAAAGATATATAGATTAGAGAATCAGAATTTAAGTCAAAGACTCAATTCCTTTAAAATAGAAATCAAAACTTCTGAAAATACATTTTAGTTAATTTTAGTTCATCTTTATGATTCCGTACTGGGGCCGCGTACATAAAATTTGTCCAGGGCTTAAATTATTTTTCTTTGATTCCATTTTATTTTGGTGATTACTGTATGTAAATATCCCACCTGTCCCGACCAGTAACTGTGGAATTTAGCTGTTCTTGATCCACCTGACTAGCAAGATGGTTTATAGAACACTCTCCACCATACTTTATCATCTCAGTACTAGACCTTCCAACCTGACAAGCAAGATGGTTTATAGAACACTCTCCACCATACTTTATCATCTCAGTACTAGACCTTCCAACCTGACAAGCAAGATGGTTTATAGAACACTCTCCACCATACTTTATTATCTCAGTACTAGACCTTCCAACCTGACTAGCAAGATGGTTGATAGAACACTCTCCACCATACTTTATCATCTCAGTACTAGACCTTCCAACCTATCCAAGCAAACTCATTTAAAGTAAACCTGAATCCTGCACTATATATGACTATAGCAAAAAATGTTTCATAACAAATCAGCCTGTGTTTTACAACAGTTTTCGAGTTTATTTAATTTTTGTTTGGAAGGATTTTTGACACTGTAGTGCATTTACCCCACATTATTTTGTTTTGTTATAGTGCATTACTTTTCATAAAAACACATGTTTGCGTAGTTTGCACGCTATATTATTCAATTGAAAATAAAATTTCTATTTTTTATCCAAACCTGAGACTTATGCTCAACATTGTCATCCAGACTCATTCTGAAAAGAATATATTTTCATTTCGATGTCTTTCTTTTAACCCTATTCCTGCTGGGGGTGGGGGTCAATTTGACCCCCCCAGTAGTTTTTTTACATAACTCAAAAAGTATTGGTCTGAGGCTGTTTGAATTTTCTGTCTTTTCTTACATACCCATAGCCCTCCCTTTAGGCCTAAAACAGGGCTTTAATACTAACTGCCTGAGTCCTCAGTCACACTGCCTGAATGACTGCTTTTTCCTGTAACAAACTAAATCTTTGTTTTGACCCACTTTCACTTGTCAGATTTTGATAAAATTTAGCTTTTTGGAAAGCCTTTGACAAAAGGAAACAAATTGCACAAGTTTTGCGAAAAATAAATTGCAAATTTTTGCAAACAACCTGTCAAAGGAAATTTGCACATTTTTAGTTTTTCTTGATTAAAAATCATGTTATTTAAAATTTTGCAAAAATTTTTGCATATTTGAAATGGCATGGTCAAGGGCTTTTCAAAAATGTATAATTTTTCATTTTTTTGACAAATTTTTTTTTGCACACATTTTTACTATATAACTGGATTTTGCGATAAAAAATTCAATTTTTGCAAATTTGCAAATTTTTTTGCAGATTCTAAAAGTAGAGCACAAGAGCTTTCTAATGATGTATCATTTGTCATATTTGGACATCAAACATGGGATTTAGAGGGGGGGTCAAATTGACCCCCCCCCGCGTATCCTGGTTTTCAAGTACCCCAGCAGAGATAGGGTTAAATCCCGCCATTTTGCGAGTACCTTTTCCCGGATTCCATGAATTGAAGAAGAAAGCTACGTCGTCTTCCTTCCCTCCTCTCTCCGACCAAAGGTGATGAACTGCTCCGGTTTGCACTCCAGGATTCACGGACTGCACTCTTAGCTCTAGACCCTCCCCCAGAGTAAGAAACTGCTCTAACCATCTCCGACTGCCGTCTATAAAAATAACTCATAAAATTGGAAAATGGAATTTCCGAACTGTGATCAATGAGAAACCGCTCAAAGAAATAAACTCCCAAAAGAGGTGCACAGGGGAAATAACTCCTACTTGTTCGTTAAAAAACGAGAAATAGTTACTCACTAAGGACTAACCAGAGTGGGAAGCATGCGGTTTCTTTTGTTTGAAATTAAACGTGTTTTGGTCTATAATTCAACGATCTTTAAACTTACAGATTTGTTTATTTTATATTATTTTGTTCAAAATGTATATATGCCTACAAAAAAGTATTTAAGAAAAAAGGCTAAACAATTATGTATAATGGGTGAAATTGTGATCGAAAGTCACAGCTTTCTGAAAATATTGACAGAACCGTGAAATCCACGTGTACTGGCTCTGTATATTTTTTTACCAATTTAAGTCTTGGATGGCGTCAACCCTTAGACAAATTTTTAACTTTCTGAGGATGAAGACTGGGATGGTAATAATTGTAAAAATATCAAAAACTATTAATTAATAAAACTTGTACGAAGAGATATAAAAATAAAACGAAAATAGAATAAAGAAATATAAGGAAAAGGGAAAGAAAGTACAGTGAAATCCAAAACCTCTGGAATAGGAAGTCGACTTTTAGACACAAATAATGTCTTTAAATAGTCCAATTAACATTAGGCACAGCAAATGTGCAGTGTAAACAGACTCATTTAACTTAATACGTGGTTGAAAAATTTACTAGCTATTTGCTTGTAACAACATTGTTGTTTGTTGTAATGTCGTCTTCCTATTCCAAAGTTCCTGGTTATTACTGATATAATAAGAAAAAAGGAGGAAAAGAAGAAGAGATGGACTTATGTTTTATATCCGTCCTACCTTGAGAGCAGAGACAGATAAGATGGTCCTGTTCCTTTTAGTTGCTCCTCATCCAGCATATTGGACGCAAACCTGTGACTAAAATTTAACAAGCTCATATTATTGCATACAAAATTATTGAAAACAAAATCATTGTAAGGAATTTCTAAAAATATTTTTGATTTTTAAAGGGATTGTTGTTGTAATTTCAATTCACCTTCCGTTTAAAGAGGGTCAATACACAATATTAAGAGTTTAACCTTTATCTGATCAAAATCAATGAACAATTTGGTTTTTTAAAGCTTTAAATTTGTTCAGGTCTAATGATTTACTCCACCCCGAACTAACCAGAGTTAGAGGCATTCGGTTTCTTCTATTTGAAATCATACGCGTTTTGGTTTGTATTTCAACAATCTTTAAAGTTACGGATTTGTTTGTTTAATACTTTTTATTCAAAACGTATATAACGGCAAAAAAGTATTTTAAAAAAAAAATATGTTTAACAAGAGAAATTGTGATCGAAAGTCATAGCTTTCTGGAATATTGACAGAACCATTAAATCCACGTGACTCTCATCACATCTTCGGTACAAGTGCGCTACTTTTGAAGAGAAACCACAATTGAAAATATTGAATTTTTAAAGGGATGAAACTAGATTATCTTCTTCATTATTGATCCTATACAACCATACTTCCTTCCTTCTATCCTTCTATCCTATACAACCATACTTCCTTCCTTCTATCCTATACAACCATACTTCCTTCCTTCTATCCTATACAACCACACTTCCTTCCTCTCTATCCTATACAACCATACCTCCTTCCTTCTATCCTATACAACCATACTTCCTTCCTTCTATCCTATACAACCATACTTCCTTCCTTCTATCCTATACAACCATACTTCCTTCCAACCTGGGAAATTAGATTTTTTTAAGCCTATGTCAATTCCAGGCTACCAATGAGTGTCCACAAAATTTGTTTAGCCCAGCCGTTTGGCCGGCTATAGGGAACTTATATACGAATGTCTTGTTTTATTGTATAGATTTTATAATATTAGATCTAATATATTTATTTACATGTTAGGTCTACTGAATCTTGTTTTATTATATAGATTTTAAAATATTAGATCTATCATATTTATTTACCTGCTAGGTCTACTGAATCTTGTTTGATCTTCATCTATTAGATTTACTGACAATCGTCTAGAATCTAAAAATACTATAATTATTATTTTCAAGGAACTAAACGTATCTCAAACTTGAATTTGTAACCCCTGAGTCTAAAACTAAAGAATAATCGAAATTTAAGTTATAGCTTGAAAGTTTTGTAAAATAATGAGTTTCTACTTAAATATTAAACTTTCTCGATAGAACCCTGAAAAATCTAAACCAATCAGAGAAAAGGATTTACGGAGAGATATTAAGTAACCATTACTCATCAGCTGTTTTTAAATTTTAAATTATTTACATATCCGAAAACAAAACATATTTCCAGTTACAACCGTTTTTGGGATTTACATGCAAACATTAATTAATCTAAAACGTAAAATTTATTCAATCAAGGTTTTCACTTTTAAATATAACTTAAAGTTGAATGCTACGTTCTCAGCTGAATGATGATTGTTTGATAGACTAATTTGGATTTTAACACTGGCTTTAAATTTTAACTCGTCGATTTTGGCGAGTTAAATATTTAAACCCAGGGTTAAAATTCAGGTTTGAATAAAGTCAGAAGTGGCATTTAAGATGAAACTTAAAATTTAAGTCGGAATCTGTTCTTTAGTTTTAGACTCTGTATCTTTGTAGTATCAAAGTTTAAACCTTTGAAATTTCAAACTTTGACTAGTTGATCTGACAGAAGTCCTAGTTTAAAATATCATAGGTCTACGATATAAGATTTGCAATGATAAACGGAATAGAAATTTTGAGGCGATTAATCAGTAATCAGTTCTTTACTAAAGCATTTACACTGCATTTTTATTGTTTTTTTAGTTTGATAAAAAGCTTTATGTTTGAATTAAACTCTACATAAAAAGTATTATTTAATATAATTGTTATTTCTTAATTTCTTTTTTTCTAAAATTGTATGGTTTATTTTTTTGTATTACCAGAATGTAATGGAAACATGATTTAAAATTATTGTAGATGTGTTCTCTCGACCGTCAAAACCCCAATTTATGTCAAGAAAAAATCAGAAATTGTGGAACAGAAACCATTTTTATATCCTTCAGAATATCTCTGAAAAATCATAAATTAGAAAATAAAACAATTTTCCATTTTGCAATTGTGAATTGTATATAGTGCATTATTGTGTATTTATTTTGTTATTGCTATGGTTGCATTACAATAAAAGTTCACGTGTAAATCAACGTTATAAGATGCATTTTTGCACAATGAATTGCTTAATGATTTTTAATCATAATGTTGTTAAAATTAATTCGAAATATAAGGAAGACGATTTTTCCGACTCAAATGCCCCAGCCTTTTCTCTAGATGTATGTGTACTCAAATCCATTTCCTCCTCATGTAGTGCCCACATGTCGAATCTCCGCTCATCCCAGCTCCCTCCCGGTATTCAGTCAGTTTTAGAGAGTTGAGCCGGTAACAGCTCCAACACAGGGAGCCTCTTGACTCCTTTATGATGATGACGCAGATACTCAGATAGCAGCAGACGCTCTTACCCGAAGGGTTCCCAGTTCATCATGCATTCCAGAGACAATTATATTTCTTTTTTAATGATAGGTTCAGGGGCTTAAATAACGATTCTGTAGGGGGGGGGGGGGGAAAAAATTTTTTTTTAATGTGGCACGCAAATTTTTTTTTTAGATTCAGATATCCTTCCTGGGGGTTTATAATTCCACTGGAGGGATTCAGTTATCCTTTCTAGGGGTTTATAATTCCACTGGAGGGATTTAGATATCTTTCCAGGGGGTTTATAAATTCACTGGAGTTATAAACCCTTAGGAAGGAAAGATATCTGAATCCCTCCAGAAATGTTTAATATTTTAAAAATTAGAAAATCCAAGGAACTGAGTTTTTGCCACAATCTCAAATGTGCTAATTCCTAAATCTGTGCAACATGATGGTGTAAACATTTTATATTTCAAATTTATACTTTTTGATCCAACAGAATTCATAGTTTGAAAAATCTACAGACTACACAGACTGCTTATCTCCTTTCACAGGGTGGGCTACTTAGGCCTAAGTTGACCCGGCACGACATGCTATGTTTGTTTTTACGATAGGTTTTTAGAATGCCATCTCACGGCCACTTGTTGAACATAATACCTATTCTGGGGTTTAGTTTTACAACTTTGAAATGAAATACTCCCATTTTAAACATGAAACATAACATCTATGAATTCAGTCTATTTTCGAAGATTTTGTGTTTCCTATTCAAAGGATCCTTAAATATCCCTGAATACAGATGTTTGCTGATTGGTCGTGTACAGTACTTGTACACATTAGAACATGCTGTGGAAAATATCGCAAATCATAGGTTTCAATCGATCTCTGTAACTCTCTTATCTCTGGAAAAATCAAAGCTTTGCGACGTAGTGGAAATGATACAGGGATTAGAAAATCAGAGTTTGTGGGAAAGACTAAATTTCTAAATTTTCGTACAAAATTATTTTCACACGTGAGAACTGAGTCATGGCCACAAACGCAAAATTTCTATATTGTTCCACCCTAAATGGTGTAGACCTTTGATATTTCAAACTGTGAATTCTGTTAGTTCAAGTAGTCTAAGTTTGAAATATCAAAGGTTAAACCATGAAGTTCCAAAGATGCAGGAATTAGAAAATCAGATTTCTGACAAGTTCCTTTATCAAATATATAATTTGTTTTGTTAATGTAACTGTAAAATGAAAAACATAAAAGAAAAGTGCAGAGAAGATGAAAGAATATTTTTACGTGTCGTCTCTTAATTCAAATAATTTAGATTTTTTTAACAGTTTACAGATAAATTTTAAAGTGTTCATTATTTCAAAAACTAGGCTATTCTAAAATGTTTACAATTATAGTTCTCGTGTTGGAGAGGGTTGAGCCTGTATCAGGTATCCTACTCCACTAATGATTGATAACTGGAGGTACTATGGAGGGAGCACATACTATCTTATTAATATTTAATAGGAACCCTTTATACAGTCTTTATACAGTCTCCAAATAAACCAGTCTAATTAACCAGACCAATCCAACTAACCAGACCAACCCAACTAACTAGACCAACCCAACTAACTAGACCAACCCAACTAACAAGACCAACCCAACTAACTAGACCAACCTAACTAACTAGACCAACCTAACTAACTAGACCAACCTGGCTAACTAGACCAACCTAACTAACTAGACCAACCCAACTAACCAGACCAACCCAACTAACAAGACCAACCCAACTAACTATAGACCAACCCAACTAACTAGACCAACCCAACTAACTAGACCAACCCAACTAACCAAACCAACCCAACTAACCAGACCAACCTAACTAACCAGACCATCCCTAACTAACAAGACCAATCCAACTAGGGTTTCCAATCGGAATACCGTTGCGCGCCATTGCACGCAATTGCCCGCAATGACTGCTCCCGCTTGCGCCATTTCAATGCGCAGAATTGCGCAAGCGAACAAGGAAGCAATTAAAAATTCGCAGAATTGTGTGATTCTAAAAATCAATAATTTTGAACTGTGGCTAAGGAATTGAGTCTTTGACACAAACTCAGATTTTCCTGTATCTAATTGTAACTTGATGATGTAATTGGGTTGTAAATACATAGAGATTAGAAAATCAGAGTTCGTGACACAGACTCAATTCCTTAATGCAGCAGATACAAGAATGGAAATGGATGGAAGTTATATCTGTAGATTTAAAAATAATCGAGATTCACTTAAATTTTAAAGTTTCTTGTGGTTAAGGTACAAATCAACAATTAAATATGATTCATTTTTTTGGTTAAAATTGTAAGTTTAATTTTTGCTACAGTGTGAACCTGTAAACTATGGTATAGGAAGTCAACATTACAGTGTATGTATTAGATCATAGATGTCGTTACAAAGCAAAAAATTTTAAATTACTTATTTAGTTAATACAGACCCAGAGACTAAAAGTCGTCTTCCTATGCCAGAATTTTATTGTTATCATGCTTTTTATCTTTTTAAACCTTTGATTTGTCAAGGATGACGGATTTATCTTTGTGTATATATACAGGAGGTAATTGTTGAATACTTTATTCTGTATTCATTTTTTATAAACTTTCATTCATGTACTTTCCTGGAAATTGAATTCTTTTTTTAGAAATTAATTAATTTCACAATTGGTTCATGAATAAACCACAAATAGTGTATTTTTAGATTTATATTTTGTAATTTCCAGCTTTTCGTTGAAAAGGCACAAAAGTCCGTTAGCATAATCAAAGATTTAATTATTTTGATTAGTTAATCCGGAATTACTGGTACAGCTTTGCGTCCATGTAACTCCTATAGTTTCACTCTAGAAATAGAAAAGCAATCTTATTTGGTGGCATAAATGTATACATTTTGAACATATAATAACATTTTTTTCTTGCAAAAAAAACAAGGTTTTGTAAACTAAAATTAGTATCTTACAACGCGAAAATCTTAAAGAATTTTAACAATTACTGGTTTAAAAATAAAGCCAGAGACAAGTGTGCAGCTTTCAAATATTTCTGTTCATGGTTACAAAATAATATTAGTGGCTTGATAAGGTCAAATAAAACAGTAAAGTCAGCCCGATCTTAAAAATAAATGCATAGTTTTAATAGCTGTGTGGATATCAGGTTAATAGCTGTGTGGATATCAGGTTAATAGCTGTGTGGATATCAGGTTAATAGCTGTGTGGATATCAGGTTAATAGCTGTGTGGATATCAGGAAAGGTGGCAATTTTTTCATCTTCCCTTTATCTTCATTTATGTTCTATAACATGTTGATGAATGAGTCTATTTTTAACTATTTTTACTTGTTTGTGATGGATGACATCATAGATTAATTAACAGTAACAGATAGAGCACTAGATGTCGTCTTTTCAAGATTTAGGGGTTTTTAGTTCACAATAACTCTGAGGCAGAAACCCAAAGGAGTTCCATGCAGGCAGTGTTGAATTGCAAGATGACATCTAGTGTTCTATCTGTTATTGTTAAATAATCTATGATGTCTGGTGTTCTATCTGTTATTGTTAATTAATCTATGGATGGCATGCATAAAGGAAAATACGAAAATAGAAAATATGAATTCCAGCCAACGAAAATAGTGTTCCATATATATTCTTTATATTTCTTTTTTAATGATAGGTTCAGGGGCTTAAATAACGATTCTGTAGGGGGGGGGGGGGGAAAAAA